GACTTGGCTCTCAATTGGGAGAAATGTCATTTCATGGTGACCGAAGGGATTGTCTTGGAGCACAAAATTTCCCCCAATGGCATTGAAGTAGACCAAGCAAAAATTGAAGTCATAAAGAAGCTACCTCCTCCACACTCGGTGAAAGCTATCCGGAGTTTTCTAGGGCATGCCGGTTTTTACCGGCGATTCATCAAAGATTTCTCTAAAATCGCCAAACCTCTATGCGATTTATTAGCCAAAGATGTCCCATTTGAAATCACCCCAACTCGGCTCAAAGCTTTCAACACTCTAAAGGAAGCTCTCACAACGGCCCCTATTATCACATCACCAGATTGGTCTCTTCCATTCGAATTGATGTGTGATGCAAACGATCATGCTATTGGTGTAGTACTTGGGCAAAGAAAAGAAAAGAAACTTTATGCCATATACTATGCATCAAGGTTGCTCCATGACGCAGAGCTCAATTATGCCACCACCGAGAAGGAATTCTTAGCCGTCATCTATGCTTTTGACAAATTCCGATCATACCTAATCGGCCAAAAAGTGATTGTTTATACCGATCACTCCGCCATCAAATATCTCATGAACAAGAAGGATGCCAAACCAAGGTTAATTCGTTGGGTTTTACTACTCCAAGAATGTGACCTTGCTGTAGAATCGGTTTTGAGAGGCGATTCCAACAGTATAATTTTTACAGATTTTCGTTCACAAACAAGATTACAGGAGCAAAACTCTATATGAAGAAAAAGAGAAGAAAAGCAGAGCATTCTTCGTTAGATCCAAGAAAATCGCAGATACATTCAACCTGTTTCACGCCTCCGCTCTGATACCAATTGATAATCCCAGAATACTTAACAAACAACAAATATAGCAGTTATAGAAGAAGCAGATAGAAAGATATGTAGATAATATACGCGAATCTGGTATACCGTATGAAAACCGGCCGCTGCTCTCCCTGGAGAAGGAGAGCAACGGCAAACCTAAACTCTCTCTATCTTTACGCCTCTGCGTCTCTAAGCCTCTATCAATCGTTTGGGTTCCCGTAAGTTAGCCTCCTTTTATAGGAGAAGTTGGCTAACTTACGGGTTACAAGGAAGCCCACGGGCTGATACACATTTGTGGCCCGTATTACACGATTAATTAATAACTGCACAAATACAAAGATAACTAACTAGATTGAACACCATAAAATATTCCCAAAAAAAGAGTTTATATCTAATTTTTATCATCTTATTAAACTTTTAATTTGCGTGGTTTAGTTTCTTTTCTAATTGTGCATCAATACAAAGAAATTGCTTGAGGACAAGCAATGCTCAAGTGTGGGGGGGTTTGATAGCCGTTATATTTACTTGTGTTTAACATAAGTATTTATAAGTATTTGTTGAAGAAAAGAAGAGAAATTGGGAAAATATCTTGAGAATGAGAGTTAGAGCATAAAACATTGTGATGAACGGCTTTTGGGACCAAAAGGATGACGTTTTGCCCATCATTTGAGTATAACGTATTGTAGAGAACTCGAAATCACTCCATTCGAATTTCATGTGAATGGTAACTCAATAAGGTACAAATGTTATGAAGACATCATGGCCAGAATAGGAAAAGAACAATACTCAATCAACCGCTAAAGTCAGATGTTGCTGGTGGGATTTCAGGGTGCATACCTCTCAGTGTTTTATCCATATCTGTTGATTAGATGCATAAAATCACGTCATTCAAGTTTTGTTGGATAAAAGACTTCATTATCTACATCTTTGGTGAAGGAATCATGTCCAAATTCGTAGCGGAACATCTCCAAAATCCCGGTACAAAAACCGATCCTTTTTTATCCATTTCGGAGGAAGAGAAATGAAGTACATTTTTGGGCGCAGCAACCGGCGCCGGTCGGTCTTGAACCGGCACCGGTCGGAACGCTTTTTCTCGCACAAATGAGCCTGTTTTCAACCGGGGCCGGTCGGGACACAACCGGGGCCGGTTGGGCGCGATTTCTGCACAAAACAGGCCAACGTGCAAGAGGATTTTTGATGGGAAAAGGTCATCTTCCTCATTTCTTGATCAAATATTGCTCCACACCCGATTGTTGGGTTCGAATAGACTAAAAGATGTCATTCTTTAGCCTATATAAAGCCCTCAATTCATCATACAAACACATTCCATTCCATAGATTAATTCTTAGCTTTTATATTTTTGTTCTTGGTATTTTCTTCAAGTTCTTGAGGAGGGAAGTTCATCCTCCGAAATCATTGGTGTTTAGGTATTATTTCCTTTGTAATTTCATGTTCCATTACATTTATTATTGTATTGTGATTAATATGAGCATTAGAGGCTAATTTCTTAGCTAAGGCTAGGGATGAACTTCTATGCCCACTAGGTGTTTGATAAAAGTTCTAAACCAATAAATTGTGATTTATCCTTTATATATTGATTGTTTATGACTATGGTGTACAACATAGAAGTATGTTAAATTTAGTTTATACTTGCAATTAACGTTGAAGTCTAAACTATGAACACTAAAGGATAAACATATATAGTACCGAGAATAGAAATATATCCGGTCTTATATGATACGGGTGTGATGTCTTGATATTCAACGGGGTTTTCGGTAGATGAATGTAAGCCGTAACGGGACTTACACGTAACGAAAACCACGCTCTCGCTGCCTTAACCGGAGTTGAGAATATATTAGCGACATCGTATTCATAATTATTGGCAAAGAACTAATATTCAACCCTATTGAAGCATTTAAGTGATTCCCGAAGCCTTAGTTGTTGTTATCATTTATCTTGAACTCAAAGTTAGTTAACGATTATCTTGTTGAACAAAAAGTGAAAAAACCAAAAATATAAAACACAAATCAAAATCCCTGCACTTTATTCAATTCTTCATTTAACGTTATCTACTCTCGGACTTGAATTAAACAACGTTTCCTTGTGGATTCGACCCGGTATTTTACCGGAATTTATTACTATATCGGCACTTGTACACTTGCAAGTTTAGCCCGGTCAAAGGTCATATATAGATAGGATGCTCTGTACGTCCGACACCATTTGGGGTGGTTCCCGGTTAAGTTTTATGATGAAAGTTTTTGAGCATCTTATTCATTAAGTCTAGTTTACTAATATCAAATTTGAACTAAAAATTCAAATTTATTTGAATGCCTTCTCGATTGAATTTTTAGTTCAAATTTAGAATGACTAAACTAGACTTAATGAATAAGATTCTCAAAAAAATCATCAAAAAATTTCATCGGGAACCGCCTCAAATGGTGTCGGCCGGACAGATCATCTTATATAAGACCTTATTTGACATTTTTTTGTAAGTTCGAGGCCCTATCTGACCCTTATTCCTATTTCTTATAATCTTTATTTTTATCTTAAACATCCATTACTATTAAAATAAAAGATAAGGTATAATAATAACTGTATGTGACAATGAAATAAGTATAACTTGACAGTACAATTATTAGTGTGTAATTTAAGCAAAAACACGTCTTTGGAGACACTACTTTAACTTTTTATTTAAAAAATTATTTTCCGATGATGATATAAATTCCACGGCTTAAAACCTCAATACTAAAAAGTAAATACCGCAACCCTTAGCAATGAGAGTAACATTTTCAATATAAAATACACGAAATACCCGTGCGATGTACGATGTATATCTAAACTTGGATAATAACTTATTTAAAGTTATAGTTTACAATGGTATGTAATGTGTAATATTGCCAAATAAAAAAGGCGATAGAGCTTATGTGTTGTAACTTTTATTAATTATATACATAGTAGTAGCCGTAAGAAAATGCAAACTTGGATCATATTATAAAAAATTGCAAGTAACATTAAAATAAAGTACTCCCTCCGTCCCATATTTATCTTCGTAGTTCGATTTACGATGCTTGACTGACGATAAAGCAACTTGATCCCTATTCACACTCAGATTATTTTTACTAAATTAAATTTACATATTCAGAAACTACATTAAATCCGCTACAAAGGCTGATCAAGAAAATTTAAGTTTGATAAAAATTTGATATATAAAGTAAAAGTTTAAGAGTAATTTGAGTTGACCGTGTGAATAGTAATTATGATGATAATTTTGGGACGGAGGGAATATAACAATAACTCTATGTGACAATATATTAACTTGATAGTATAATGAGTGTGTCTCATGAAACTTTTTGTTGTTGTACTTTCTTTATAAACACTTTATCCATATTTTAAAGTTTGTTACACTTTTCTTTTTAGAATGTATTTATAAGTTTGCTACACTTTCCTTTTTAGTAAGTTTTCTCTTAAAAATAATGAATTATCCTTACTTTTTATATTTTTGATCTTCTCTTTCATACACTAATACATTCTTTCTTACTTTTTCTACACTATTCATTACCCCTACTACTTTCCTCCTTAAATAATGTCTCAAAGTCATATGTAGCTATCTTTAAAACACGAAGAGAGTATTCATTGATGCCAACCGCTAATATTGCATCTGGTAGCGAATTATCGGTCACCGATTTGTACAGCGTATGACGTTAGCATTTAACAAAACATATACTATACATACAAGAAATACAACAAAAAAGTTTCATGAGGCCCACTAATAGTTGTACTATCAAATTATTTTACTGTCACATAGAGTTATTGGTTATACCTTATCACTTTTTTAGAGTACCTTATCGTTTATTTTAATTTTATATGATGGTACATAATGTGTAAAATTCAAGTAAAATTAAAAAGTGTATACTACATATATAATTAATAAACTTAACAACACATAAACTTTATCGTCTTTTTTTACTTGAATTTTCATTTGACTTTTTAATTTTACTTGAATTTTTTTACGATCCAATTTTTCATTATAGTACAACTACTATGTATATAATTAATAAATGTAACAACACATAAACGTATTTTTTTATTTGACAAAATTACACATTATGTACCATCATATAAAACATAATTGTAATTAAGTCATTATTCAATTCTAGATATATCCCGAGCATTGCACGGGTACTTCGTCTAGTAAAAGAATAAATTTAAATGTTTCTAGTGGATTTATGCAAGTGACCAGACGCGGAGATAAGGGATGGCCAACCTTGGCCCTCGCCCATCCTAAATTAAAAAAAATGTGTTTATTTTTAATGTAAAAAATTCCGGGGGAAAAAATCTAAAAATATTCTTTGTATCAGCCCAATCCAACTCAGGGCTCTAGCTCCGTCATTGCGAGTGACAATAACTTTTTTCTAAGTAGAATGATTTTAGAGTTAGGGATCAATTAAAAACAAAGATGTTCATATTACAAAGATGAAAATCATAATTTTTTTGTGCAAATACTTTAAAAAAGTGTTATATTTACATCAAGTAAACCCATATTTAAACCTTTTAGTGATTTCAAATAATTAAGACTATTTAATTATTTTCAGCGTAGCTTTAATCTTCAAATTGAATGGAGATAAGATGAAAACAAAAACTTGCATGTGGAGAGGCATAAGAGCCAAACCGTTTGTGCATCCGCACAAATTGGTGAATTAAACGGGATGGATCGTTTGGTCGGTATGAAGAATCTTTTGGAAAGGTCCTCTAATCCTTCTCATGACATAAAAAGTGACATTACAAAATGGCTTCTCAATCGGTGCCTTTGAGAAAAGATGCAAATTTAGGGCCTCTTTATAAGTAAAAAAGGATGACACTCCATCCCTGAGGGCCCCCAACCTCGATACGTTGGGAGGATGTAAATTGGACTATAATCTCAATCTGATAGATAGAGAGTGATGCTCTGTCCTCGGTACTTGCAGATGTCTTATGCATTTTTATCATAATAACTTCTTATCGTAGTTACTGGGATTTGAATCCGGGATCTAACCCTCGTGGGCCGTGGCACTCCCTTGCTACCAGTTGAGCTACGTCCACCGGTAGGGCCTCTTTATTAGTAGAGGTATTTTTAAGTATCCTTTTTGTTTTTCATTTTCCAATTTTTTATTTTCATTTTTTAGATTTTTCATCTCCAATTTTTTATTTTCATTTTCTAGTTTTCTATTTTTAAATCTGAAAACGTGTTCATTAACATAAAAACATTTTTGGATACAAGGGAAAACTAATACCACATGACAAAGAGAATTAAACCTTATAAGTTCAATATTATTGGCACTTTCTAAGGGCTCTTTTTTTAATCTTGTTTTTCGATTTTTCAACCTTATCAGAGAACTTTTTCACCAAATACATAATTTTGTATTTTGTATGCTAGATTTATATTAACTAAAATAAATAAGATCGAAGATAATTTTCTAGCTAAAATTACTATAGAAAATCATATTACCTATTTTCCATATAGGTATTTCTTTATTGTCTTGATAAATTATGGAGTATGTTTTAAATATAATTTTTCCATATTTAAGGGAATGCAATCAATTTAGGCTCTTCAACCAAAACTTTACAAATTTAATCAGATTCAATCAATTTCAATGTTATTAAAAGGCCTTTAAAAGAATTTGAAAATCTCATCCGGAGAACAATAAGTTCAAGAATCGTCAGGGTTAAACTCTTAGCTGCCAACACCAAATTTCTTAGTTTGTGGTACAAATAAGATGGTTGGTGTTAATACTTGGGTGTAATGCACCCAACTCTCTTCTGAAATATAAATTTAGTGATACATGTGTAAAGTCTCCTCTATGAACAAATTAAATTGTCAAATATACATGTATATTCAATCATATTATTAACATTAGTGATTTCAAAATTGTAAAATTTATTTTTGTAGAGGTTTTTGTGCATGTATAATTATAACACAAGAGAGTTTAACGCATGTTTTTAATTACATTTAGTTAATGCATCAAATTTATATATCATGAGAGAGTTTAATGCATTAAATCAGTTAATACTTAATAGACCAAATGGTTCGGGCATACTCATGAAAATGATCATAAATATGAGCTTTTTCCTTGAATATTATCAAATTAAAGCTAATTTTAAAAAATGTGACTATATTTACAAAAGGTCAAAAATATGACTAAGAAGGTCCACATATTTGGAAAAAGTATGATGTCACTGTCATTTTTATGTCACTATTATATGTCACTACCGGTTTTTTATGTCATTATTATACGTCACTACTAGATTTTTATGTCACTTTTAAATGTCACTTTTACTGTAAAACTTGTCACTATCACCGCTGAGAAATTTTCCGGCAACCTTTTCCAACGAAACTTTACACTACCACCGGCCGGCAGCCACTACTGTCGGTGACCCACCGCCGCCTTATAGTGACCAATCGTCCCATCAGTGACACCTCAGACTTTCATGTCACTGACGCCATGAACCGTGTCACTGTAATCGCCGGAGAATTTTTCGGTAATTTTTTCCGGCAACACAATGACAATCCAACATCATCGTCAGCCACCTCCCAGTAGATCGCCCTGCCACAGCACCCCAAACCCAAACCCAGTGACCATCATCCAGCCCAGGCGCCGCAGCCAGCCTCCCCCCCCCCCCCCCCCCCCCCGCGCACTCCCTAGCCTCAGCCCCAACCCCCTTCCTTTCCCTGTCACAACCCCAACCCCCAGCATTCTTCCCAGCAGCCAGCCACATGTTCAGCCAACCTTCCCAACCCCAGCCCCTCCCCAACCGCCGTACTACCACCTGCAACCATACCTGCCCCTCTATCGCTGAACCATAGATGCCATCCATCGCCGAACTTTGGCGCCTCCATCGTTGAATGGTAGCCGCCATCATCGTCGAATTGTAGTCGCCGCCATCCCTGAACCGCAGCTGCCATAACGCAGGGAAGAAGAAAGGAGAAGATGTGAATCATGATGGAGGCGATAGCACACCTGATGGTTATGGCCGAGAGCAGCGTCGCACGCTAGTGGAAGTGACCGAATTTGGGAGAGGAAGACTGGCGTCCGAATTTGGCGTCCGAATTTGGGAGAGGAAGACTGGCGTCTGAATTTGAATTTGGGAGAGGAAGACTGGAGGCGCATATCTGGGAGAGGAAAGAAGACGCAAATCTGGCGTCACTAACAGTATCGTTGTACTCACTACTAAAAATAATGGCTAAAACCCTATAGTTAATAAACCGGAAAGAAACAATAGAATCAAATATTTATCTTTTACCACCCACGAGCAAGAGAGAAATGGTTTGATGATCAACCACCTTCAAAGATATCATTCCGATTTGACTAGTCATCGGGAAGGGAGAAGAGGTTTGTCTAGCCCCTCCAAAAGAATTATCCCACTCGCAACAACTAATGGAATTTCAGGGTGTGCTGATCCAACAGCACCGCCGTAGAGCCATTTTTTTGGGTCGATTCCATCTACCTCCATGCTAACTTAAACGTCCACTAGATTCTGCAAATCCACTGTCATGCGCTTCCTAGATTCCCCTTCATCAAAAATTCTATCTTGGTTGTGTTGCTCTTCTTCTCCCACTTTTTTCTTTTCCTCTTGAGATCAGCCCCTGAACCAAATAGCAGCCTGCCTCTGAAGCCTTCTCTTGAAAACCCACCAGCTAACCCTGATTTTCACTACCTCTGTTGATATTTTTCAGATCACGCCCTGCACGCGTGATTAGCCACTTAGTCCTCGAGTTGGTTCCTCCCAGCCGCAAATCTGCTCGCATCCAGAGGGCATAAGGCTTATCACCCGCCCACGGCCCCGTATTTGTATTTGATGGGCAATATCTGTCATTATATTGTGCCCCGAACTCCACAAATGAAACAGGGATTTGGAAGCCTCTCGTATTTGAAATACGCCCATTACCAGCTATCACCCTCTTCCCATACATGTATTATTCTCTTAAGAGCGTTCTTTATGTTTAGCAAAACACGGACACACACGTACTTCTTACTTTATTCGCATCAGTTTCCCTAGATATCTAACAATTCTAGTCGCCACCGTCTCAATCATAAAACTTAGGGATAAATTATGAATCTGAATCCAAAACTCCGCATAATTCACCTCGACCTCAAGTGGTCTATCCTTAGCTTCAACCCTTCTAATAACAACTAAATTTTGGTCATAGGACCAAGGGTCATCCTGCAGTACCCGAGCAATATGATTTTCATGATAATAAAACTAGATCATAAAATGCATATCTCCCATCTATTCGATGTTCACCCCTTTACCCATACGTCAAATCATCGCCATTGTCTCCTGAAAAAAGATGGGACGAAAAGGTTTGTCCGTGACCACCTGAGCAACAACAGAAAAAACGTGGGTTCTCTCCAGCCCCACTACTAACATTCAATGCTCTCGATTCAAACACCAAACAAATATTTTCTTCCCCCTCAATAGACATTCTTCCATACTCTTCTGCTATGTTTTCCATTGAGAAAAACAGTCCACACAAACACTACACAACAACTGAAACGCAACAGACTCTTCCATAAAACACAATTGAACACAGCAAGCGAACGCAACCGAAACACGACAACTGAAGCTCTTCCACAGACGTTTACTAGTGAAATCCAACAAACCCCATGGCCAGAGGCACCACTTAGCCGGAAAAACAAACCAGACGAAAAAACAAACTCAGTTACAGAGCATCCAATCTGAAATGTACCTCAAACTCCATGTCTTCCTTCAGCGCATCCCCTCGTGCAAAACGTTGATCTCCTCGTGAACCCTCTCCCCCGGTGTGACGCTGCAGACGAATCGCTTTTGTCAAGGATCGGCAGCGCCGTTAGCTAGGGTTCAGTTGTCGCATTGGTATAAGATTTTTTTTGCTTTCTTTCTCTAACCTAGATTTTAATGGGTAAACACTTTTTATCTTTTATGCACAAAAAATGTTTCATGTCACTTTAACTCTACTATATCACACACATATATAAATACACACACATATACATAAAAGTAAATATAAATACAATTTTTAACATGATCTAGAAACCAGACTATTAACCAGGATTATGAATCGAACTTCAAAGAACTTGTAACCTGATAGTAGGAATCGAACCGATTCATAATGATCCGGTTCAGATTGATTCTGAGTATCCCATTCTCAAATCTCAGTAAAGGATGACACCCCATCCCTGAGGCCCCCCAACCCCGACCGGACGGTACATTGGGATGATGTAAATTGGACTATAATCTCAATCTAACAGATAGAGAGTGGAGGTTTGTCCCCGATACTTGCAGAGGCCATATGCATTTATATAACATAGTAATTTCTCATCGCAGTTGCCGAATTCGAACTTGAGGCCTAACCTTTGTGGCACTCTCTTGCTACCAATTGAGCTACGTACACCGATAAATGTCAGTCGTATTATATCAATTGAACAGTTGAACATAACTTCCATTTAGTATGATGGGCCAAATAAGTCCTAACGAACTATCAACAATTATGAAATGTCAAACCAACGAATTATATCGATTAAGATTTGTGTAACCAATAGTAAGACGCACGTGAGACCTCATCTTAGAATTTAAAACTTCATTACAACAACCCAAGCCCCAACTACCAAGTGGACATTGTGGATAATTTTATAGATAAAGAACTCCAAAATTTCAATAAGAGTTGTGTGAAGAATGAAATCGCGGAACCTAATTGGTGATTTAGTTTATTTATGTATTAACCTTAGCGGTTTTTTTTAAACATTGGATTTCACACGCTAAATCATTTAATAATTATAATGAGTATGGGAAAATTATTTTAGAAATTAGTTCAAATAGGACTAAAACTATGGCAAAAACCTAAAATAGGACTTGCTATGTTTTTATTCCAAAATAGGACCATATAAGTCCTATTGGAAACATACCTATTTTTGCATTCCATTCTTACCATTCCATTAAATATGAATTAAAAATAGTCAAAAGCCATAATTAAATGTTTAATTCATAATAAATTCAAAAAAAATTCAAAAATTCGTAGAAATATAATTAAAAAATTTATAAAATTTTTATAAAATAAAAAATTCAAAAACTTTTATTTTTAAATAATTTTATTTTTAAAAAAATTAATAAAAAATATTAAAACTCCGTAAAAAAAAATTAAAAAAATATGGATGCCTTTCCCACCGCCTGTACTACCTCCCAGCACCACCACCTCCGGCCAATGAAAAAAATGCCATTTTCCCAGAAAAATGCCATTTTTTTCTGAAAATGCCAAAAAAGTGGCATATTTCTCTTTTCGAATGCCAACATTTTCATTTTTTCTGCCATAAATATGGCATTCGTAATGAAATTGGCATTTTTTCCCCGGTGACTGGAGGTGGTGGTGCTGAGGCGGCAGAGGCGGCGGCGATTTTTTTTAGTTTTTATTTTTTTTTTAATTTTTTTTTTAATTTTTTTAATTTTTTGAAAAAAAAAATAATTATATTTTTAATATAGAAATGTTTTTCTTGATTTTTTAGTATTTTTTACGATTTTTTATTATTTTTTATTATTTTATTAGGAATTGTTTGATAGCTATAAGGGTATAATTGTCCAAGGTATACATAATTAGTCCTATGCAAACATAGTTTATTTTTTGATCCTATTTTTCTTACTTAATTGGACGAAAGTGGTGGAAATCAGCTATTTCCATATGCTTTATAATAAAATTTATTTTAAACATAGTATTTTCAAAATGCAGTAGATTCTGCCAACTCAACCGTTTAAGGTGAAATTTCAACAGATTCAATCGATTTGGTTAATTTCAACGTTATCAATCAGACTCTAAGAGTTCATTTGATGATGTTGGAATTGGCTAAGTTTATCAAATCCAATCTCAAACCGCTGAATATACTAAATTGTGAAAAACACATTGAAAATATTTATTATTACCAGAACAAAAAACATAGAATACTTATTTGATTTCATCAAATTCGGTCAATTAAGCCTCACACACACATATACACACAAAAAGGGGCAAATAAGTCCACGTACTAACAAAAAAGGTCAAATAAGCTCTTATATAGAAAACTGTATCCGGCCATCACCATTTGGGTAGTTCCCGGTTGAATTTTTATTTATGATATCTCTAACCCTGATGACATCAGTGTATAGCCCAATTTCTTAAAAAAAGTCCCTAATAAATAGGTCTGACATTTTAACCAAAAAGAGATGAATCTGTTTGGTGACCTTCTTTTGGAGTTTATCAGACTTATCAACCAGTTTTTTCACCAAATACGGAGTACATAGTTTTTTATTTTTGCATGCTGAATTGCGTAATGATAAGAAAAAATAAAGTTGAAATTAATTTTCTGACTGTATTCGCTGATGTTACTATGCGTAATCATTTTAGCTATTATTTATTTTATTAATTAAAAATATTTTAAATATAATTTTTCATATATCATCAGAATCAACCAATACAAACAGTTAAATTAGAACTTCATAAATTTTGGTAGAATCAGATAATTCAACAAATTTTAGTAGTTTGATTTGGTTTGATTTGGGTTAGTTCAAACTTTTTCTATTTCCCGAACATAACCCAACCCTGTTGATTAGGGCTCTATCGAACTCATTGTCGGCAAAACTTCCCACAATTCGGCAAGAGAGTCGATTAGTCGAATAAGTATAGGACAAAAGTCAAATAGAGTCTCCAGCATACTGCTGTTGATAACTCAACACTCATTATGACATTTTTAACTAAACACGTTCCTCCGTGCTATAAATACTACGGAGTACTAGTCTACTAGGCAAGTGTCCTAAAGCTTTTGAATAAATCATATGGTCTCTTCGAAGAGTTGAGGGTTTTGACTTTTGAATAAATTAAGGGAGAAATTATTAAAATACTCCAAACTTTCATATCTAATTCAAAAATTTTAAATTTTATATAAAAAGTTCTTTTAGTAATATGGTCATTTATTATTTCTTTCAAAAATGTGTAAATTTATGGTGTTCATCACTTCATTGCATATTTTAAAATAGCTAATTAAAAATGTTGCAATTATATAGTGGGAGTAATATTATTTATTTTACAACAGAAGTTTAGAATGTTAATTGTATCTTCATGAATGTTAAAATATTTTAAATTATGAAATTAACACAAAAAACTAACATTTTTGAAAGAAATAATACATGACAATCGTGCTAAAATAACTTTTTATATAAAGTTTGGGGTTTTTAAATTACATATGCAAGTTTGGGATGCTTACCTTACACATCTTCAAAGTTTAGGGTATTTTAATTTTTTTTTTCATAAATTAATTATATTTGAGTCCTTAAATTTCCATCTAGGTTAAAGCGTTATGAATGTTTTTTGGTGTTCATCCGTTATGGATTCGATTTCTGATTGGATATTTTGAGTTGTTTCAGTCGCTTTGAATCTAGTTGCGGGCGATTTTAGGACGTTTTATACTTTTATCTGTTTTTGTCTATCGATTTCGGATTGATCGATTCTTTAATCCAAAAGTACAAATCGTAAACCGAACTGCCGATAGGATAACAAGTTTTAGTTGGTTGTGATTTCATTCAGTTCGATTTTGATTGACTCGGGTTTGAACGTTTTATCGAGCGAATTTGGTTTTTTCATTTTTTTCACCCGTGTTGCTTTTTCCCCACTCATTACTCGCAGCTAGATTGTTGGTAGCTAGCGTAAAATTGAGAGATTGTTTGGTGAGCATGTTTATCAGGTTATTTTTCATTGAACACATAACTTTTGATTGCACGCGCATAATTGTGTATTAATCAAAATAAGTAAGATTGAAGTAACTTTTCTGACTAAACTGGATATAGTTACAGTAGAGGATCAATTTATTAGAACCCGTTTGGTGACCTTGTTTTTCGACTTATCAGGTAAATCAGTCAGTTTTTTCATCAAACACGTCATATTTGATTTCACACGTTGAATTATGTAACAATAAAAAAAAGTAAGACCGAAGTTACTTTTTTGGCTGTATTGGTTGAAATTAATGTAGAAGATCATTTTAGTTATTTTTTGTTTGATTTATTAATACAATATATTTTAAATATAATTTTTTTATCATAAATCAACAAAATCAGCCAATATAAACACTTCAACCAGAATTTATAGTCTAAAATAGGATTGTCATGCGTTTATTTCCTAAAGATGAGTATTTTTTGTCAAGTTTGACGTGATCAGGCTTTAAACATGACATTTTTGTAAGTTTTCTCAAACTTTACATAAATTACTCCTATTTAAGGAATAAAAACATGAGTATCCTACTTTCAAATTTCAAAACATTTTTACTTTTATTGAAGACCATTTCTAATCTTAAAATGTACTACGTACTCCATGATCCATATAAGACGTCCGAACTACATCCGAATCTTAATTGAGTAAAGTACTACCTCCGTCCCTGTTCAAGAATAAAATATGAGGCTCTCGTATACCCAAAAATAAAATACTATGGATATCAGTCATTACAATCATATTTTCCTTTCAAAAAAATCATACTCCCTCCGTTCCTAAATGTTTGTCACACTTTAACTTACAAGTTTTAAAGAGATGAATTTGACTTTACACTGTAGTGACACTGTTTCATACTGTAGCAGCACTGTTTGACATTGTTTTGCACTGTTTGACATTGTTTGGTATAGATTTGTTTACCAAATAAGGAAGTTGAAAAAGTATGACAAACATTTTGGGACATCCGTTTCGGGAAAGTGTGACAAACATTTAGGGACGGAGGAAGTATTTTTAATCTAGATTCGTATTTCTAATTCTAAGAATCATTCTAATTTATAAAAAGTAAAATGAAAATAACAATTAACAGATAATAAGTATAATCAACTAAAGAAAAAAGTGGGAAGAAATACACCTTAATAAACAGAGGCAATATGAATGTGTTTAATTCAATCACCGTTTCTCAGTTTCCCCTTCCCTTGCTATGCACCTCTCTCTACTTAACAACTTGAACCTTGAAAAGTTAAAGTCTGCCGCCCGTAGAGAAGACGGTGCCCCCTGACTCCCTGAGTTTATAAATGATGGAACACCGAACTACCGAAGGCATCACGACTCAACAAAATTCATAAATTGAATTGAGAAGCTCTTAAGCCACTAAGGCCATGTTTGTTTTTTGGCAGATTCGGACCAAACCGCTGCAAAATGCAACGCTTTCATTTGTAAATAGGGAGACCTAAGCTCCGAAGAAGACAAGAGAATATTTGGAATTAAGTGGAAGGCCATTTGGAATTAAGTGGAAGGCAGTTTGTTAATAGGTTGGAATTAAGTGGAAGGCAGATTGCTTAGTCTCCTTGAATCGTTCCGTAGTCTCCTCGGAAATTGTCGATAATTCGCTGCTTCAATTCTCTCTTCGTCTGTCTTCCGAGTTCCGATGAGGGAGGTGTATAAATTATCGTAGGCTTTCAACGTGAAAAGAATATGAGGCGCACAAAGCACTACAACAAAATTGACCTTTTATAACGCTTCAAAATTGTTGCATTACATAGCTAAAGTGTTACGAAAAGGCTAATGCAACATTTTGATGGGTGCTACACCAGGTCTCGTTGCATAAAACTATATGTAACACTTATCATCATCTTAAGCAACATGTAACATAAGTGTTACATAAATACCTCAAATGCAACACTAATTTGTAACACTTTACTTAACATGTTATGCAACACTCTTTTTAATAAAATGCAACACCCATGAATCAATTTTACGCAACATTTTTATTATGTTTATGTAACATAGTTATTAGATCTTCTTGCAACATTAAACAAAATTATGCAACACTCGCATGAACGTTTTGTGTAACAATTTTTGTTTACATGCAACAATGTTTTAGAGTTTATGCAACATTATTTCTTAGATTATGTATTATTAAATTATGCTATATTTCATAATATCTTGAGATAGTTTTGATTGTGCTCAACTTTCATACATTTTCTCAACACGTACATAATAACATACAAAAATATTAAAAATTATAAGTCATGAGGAAATTTTCTTATATCTCACACATATATTTTGTCTCAAACTATGTTAAACATAACAACCTTTTCAAATACTATATTAAATAACAACATATGTGAGTGCCTGGTATGTCACGCTAACTAATACAAAGTATCATATTTACTCATATCGTCACTTTATCCTCCGCCGTAATCAAAATGTCTTTAGTTTATCCATGTTGGTGGGATTGAACTTTGTAGTTGGAATATTCCTAGCTCTTGTATTGGACCTTGATTGGTAGCTACTATCCAATCAAATGGACTGACCAGCTTGCTCAAAAGGCGCATGATTGCAGCTACTTGAAACAACATGTGCATGTGATGATTGGTTCCAAAATGTGTAAACTTTTGCTCGTACTTCCTTAACATGTGCAGGAGATCATCACATAGAAAAACACCAGTTAGATACTAACCATACTCAACAAATCTTAAAATTGTTTACTATGCCAAATATAAAACGAGTATCTCAGCTTAAGCATGCTCTTTTATCATGGGTGTAACAACTATTCATAATATATATACACCACTGCCAAGCCTTAGTTTCCAATTAAAGTTCATAAAACAAAGACAAAACTAATCAAAAGTTGTGAAAACTTCAAATAGAAATTCTAAATTTTCCATTGATAAAGGTCGATTCAAATAATTCAGCATTTCTAATGCTCTTGACTCCTTAAGCATGGCCACACATCGTGTCTAGAAAACTGAGAACATGAAAAAAAAATATTTGGTACAACCGATCAACCAATACTACACAGCAAACATGCACTTACTTGACCTTAAGAAGTAGAACTATATAAGAGACTGTCTAATACATTTGGGCTGGAATAATTCTTTTCTAATGGGCTTACTGTATGTTATCCGAATAAAAATGGAGGCCCTCTTAAAATTAGGGGCCCTGTGCACTTGCACCAGTTGCATCTGGGCTGGGTCGGGCTTGTCCGTCCCCTTCATATTAGGACAAAGAGGTGTGATGCGGTCTTTAAGAAGCAATTTTTAAAGTAAGAATGAATTGTAAATATCCAAATATTATCATAAATGATATGAGACAAAATTAATGGGACGGGTGTAAAAGGTAAACTAGGAAGGGAGGGAGGAGTACCACAGAAGTCAGAACTAACAGATCATAGATGTATATCACTGAACTAATAGATGTACTTACACACGTACTCCGTATAAGAGTATGTAGAGATTCTAACAGATGTGTATCATGTCGTCATTCTTTTGATGCAAAACATTTAAAAATGTGTTTGAATATTAAATGAGCAATTACTACAATATCGCATATTCGCAAATCGCAAGTTGTATGACATTGTGTCTTAATTATTGTCTTGATGCATGGCTACATAAATAGTTATCATATTACTTCAAAGTTCAAAATAAGTACTCCTTTCGTTCCAAAATGAAGTTCTCATTTTGATCTACACGCATATTTATGTCAGATAGAGTTTTGCTTTGACTTTTCAAGTATACCATTTACTATGTCAAATTAATTCAGGCAAAAGTGGATAAAAAGTAAGGTAGTTATGACTTTTTGGGTAAACGTGGTTCTCTCTTGTAAAAATGAGAACTTCTTTTTGGGATATCCATAAAAGGAAAGTAAGAATTTCTTTTCGAGTTATCTTACTTTCGGTTTACGCTAGTGAGTATTATTCTCTTTGTCCATTCTCATTATCTTACTTTCATTTTTGAGTTATCCCAATTCAAAATGTATATCATGTTTCTCTTTTGGTAAGAAATATGTGATCCTTATTATGTCACTCTATTATGTCAAACCTCAAATATTACTTTTACATTTCAACCACTTTTAATAATTGTGCCAAATTAAAAAAACATTCAATATGAGACGAAGTAAATATTATGTAATTACTATTTTATTTGTTTATCACATTTTGGATTGAGGGAACACCCTCACAATGTGCACATACATCCTCCTCTCATAGACATATTTTGACACTAATTAGAATACCACTGAAATTGGGCCCATCAATTTAATATACCGAAATTGATAGTCAGTGTTTGAATTGATCGAATTTGATAAATTATGAAAAAATTATATTTAAATACTCCGTATATTTTACTAATAAAATACAAAAAGTTATATGAATAGTTAAAATGCTCATCTACAACATTAAGTCCAAACTTATTTATTTTGATCATTACAACACTCAGAGTCCGAAATTAAAAGTTACGTGTCTGATTAAAAAATTTAGTTGATAAAAGTGATAAGTTTAAAATATGGGTTACTAAATGAGCTCTTCATTCATCAAAACTCATTTTTCAGTTAACCCGCTAAAAAATATGTGAGTTGTTCATCACAAAATTGGAAGATATGAATTGTCAATATGGAATTAAAATGATAGATATATAATTATAAGTTATTAATTTTATTATCATTAATTGTTAAAATATATACAACTGCTGTGAATAAAATTTCATCAAAATACATAGGAAAAATGAAATATATCAAAATTAAAATGTATGATATTTCGGGTAGGGTTAGGCATGACACTAGAACCAGAATATGATGGTTTTTACCTTGAACCACACAACGAAAATGAAACTGATCCACGATCTTACCCGGCCGGCCCTAAGTCGACCTGAAGATATTCTCGCGGACATAGGATGCACACCAAAGAACCCTTTCGGTAGGTTCGACACATGATTAGTGGCACTCGGGTCTCTCACCCTCTCGAATGGCCCTACCATCATTTGTGCTACTTGGAGATCACATGTGAGATAATCCAAACAGATGACCAACAAGTTAGAACAATCAAAGAGTGAGAAGCAGCCCACTCCCTGTGTGCCGAGAAGATGGCACTCTTCAAGCATCATCTTCATCGTCTTAGGTTGAAGGACCTCGATACCCACATATAGATCTCGCCATTCCGGCCTCCGAATCAGCTTCTCCCAAGGCCAAGGTTGTCCTAGAGATTTCTTGGGAATATAACGACACAAGGTTGACATCACTAAGACTCATATAATTACACACTCTAACTAAGGAAGTCTACCGACTACTTTCAGCGAACACAAAATCTACACTCAACTAAGTAAAGTATGTAAAAATGCGAAAATTTGGTGATGGAATTAAGTTTGAACTCGTGAAGAACTACAAAAGAATCTCTCTCTCTCTCTCTCTCTCTCTCTCTCTCTCTCTCTCTCTCTCTCTCTCGAACTGGATAGAACCACTTCTCAATTATTGAAAGCATAATAGTTCAGTTTTACTAAAGGAGGGGATATTTATAGAAGAAGTAATGATTACTCCCTTCGTCTGGCTTAAGCTTTTCACTGAAAATGACACAATTATTTATATAATAATTAAGGAAGGTTACTCAAGTATATTTTGAGAATTAGTTTTGATGGTTATATAATATAATGAGGTCATTGATGATAACTGCTATGTTATATAGGTGTGTTGTTTTTAATACTTGATGATTATGTTGTAATTTAAGAGTGTTAATTATTTATTAAAATAGAGAAGTAACCTTTAATTAGCTTGGATGTTCAAATAAGGCAAATGAGAAGGTTAAGTTGAGACGGAGGGAGTTCTTTCTAACGATCGAGACACATCCCACCCATACTATGCCATCAATCTCATTGAGGTGATTGGGAGTATTTCGACCTCTCAACTAATGCCACATAGCACTCCCTCCGTCCAGAATGCTACTACAAGGTAACCTCTAGGCCCCACTCATCCCAAGCATGACCAACAAAACTCACGCTTCCCCATTAGTCACCATCGTCACATACCACCACTACAATGAGTTCATTGGCTCACAACCTACCCCTGCTCATTGCCTATATCTCTACCTCACAAAACATAAATTCAATAATGCCCTCACCAGCACAAATAACACTCTTGACTCCACAAGGTTGCCTAGCTTAGTATGGTCTCATGCATGCCACCTTCGGTTAAGGATTCTCTCATGAAGATTGTGGTGGTTAAGGTTTGCCAACAGGATCACATCGTCAGCCCAAAACTAGTGAGGCTCCTCGGCATAGTGACAACTACCCCACCAGACAAAATTACTCTCGGCCTGAAGGAGTGGGGGCTGGGGGGACTACACATTGCCCTATTTTATCCAGTATGGAACAAAACCCAACGCCGCCTACTACCTTTCATTTTGATACTTACAACAAAGAGTGTGCAAGACTTCCAATGGAGCATATGGGACTAGGCCCATGATCCACATTCTCGTAGACATTTGTAATTGGCCCAACGCTCTCTAGTTTGGAGTTGGATGGGACCCTCGACTCGAACAAGGGCATCATCATAGGATCGGCCCACAAATATTAAAATTACTTTGCACATGTTTTTAATATGTGTGTCTATATCCGTATGGTTCTGGATATATATTTTGTGAAAGGTCATCTTGTCATGAAAAATGCTCAAGCTTTGCTAGGTTCATTCCTTACGGGTCAGAGTGTAGGCAACTTCGTTAGTTTTTTGATAGCGGTTGAAGATTTGGAAGTTGAGTGTGTGATTGAGGCAACTTGTTCTGGATGCAAAGGGTTGGAGTCTTGACCTTTGGAATGGAGTTTCGTTTAGGATTGGGCAAGGTTATTTTGGATCTGTTTCATGGATGAAGTCAGTGTAGTTGTAGTTGAGACACCATTTGAGAGCTCTAGAGATTGCCTTGAGATTGCAACACACACACACATGTAATATGGAACGGGTTCTAGTGAGAACCCCTTTTTAGTTGAGATTGATGAGAGTTCCGTAAAATGAGAACTTTAATCTCAGCCTTTTGTTTATTACAATCATTGGTTAACATTCATATGAGGTCATATTCATAATTATCCTAAATTCAAATGAGTTTTTTGCAATTAATCCTAAATAATTACAAAAATGTCATATTGTCAATATTAGCCATTAATCGTAAAAATGAATGATGAATATTAGAAGTTCTCATTTTAAAAAAAGGTTTCGATTTTAAGAGTGATTCTTGTAAGACCTCTCCCGTATGAAATACTGTCATGATATTAGAGACAATTTAGAATACGCGTGAGAAAAAGGTATATTATATTGTCTCTTATTCTCCTTAGCATCATCAACATATACATAGTAATCATGACACCTTTTCTATGAATATTCACAGCTAATTAAAGACTTTTAGCTATTTATATTACTAACTTCATCAATGATGCTATTTAGAGTAATAATTTTAGTAACTATTTTTTTATGTAATCCATAATTTTTTTATTTTTATGAAGTTATTTTAACAGTAATGTTTTCATCTAATTTTTATATTTAAAATAATTTCATATTAAAAGATATAGTTGATCAAACTTGATCACTGACCAATTAAGGACATGGTAGAAAATGTAATACAAAAAAGGAGAATGATGATATGAGTTAATGAGTGTATTCAATTGAAGTTGAAAGACATGTTCTAATAGAATTCGCCGACCAATTAGTCCTGGCCGGGAGATCTTGATTAACAAGAAAATGTGAAATGAATTATTCTAACTGTTAGATCTTGACACCCGTTGGATCTATCTAAAATATTTTTGGGGTCCTTAGTCCTTGTCGTAGCCTCGTAGGATTTACCTAAAGTTTTTCTTTTCAATTTTAGGTAGGAGATAAGGGATCAGAGCATACCTAGTTGGTAGGGGTGGGCACAAAATACCGTAATCGCTTAATCACATAACAAAACCAAAAAACCGGTGTATTTTTCGGATAATCGTACCGATTTTGTAAAAAGTCGTGGTACGATTAACCGACCGTTAAGAACAAACAGTTCATGCTACGGTTACGATTTTAAAAGTATAATTTCCAAATAGTTTATGGTGGAGCAATATTATGGTCAAGGATATATTTCTAGATTTTTCCATATGTGTTATTAATCATTTCCTTATTTATTTTGTAATTATTCTTTCCTTCTTTTACTTTCCTTGGCACTGTACGTATGTATTTACATAAAATAATACTCATCATTTCACTCCTCAATTTATTTATTTATCACCGGAAGTGTTATCAAGTCCAATTAAAAATTCTAGGTTCAACATTTAAAAACAATTAGAATATTGAAAACTTTATCTTTTGCTTTCATGGTTTATCGGTTAACCGATTAGTGATTAACCGAAAATTTGGTTAACCAATACCCGGTTAATCAATGTTATGATACGGGTACGATATTGAAAATTTAATAACCGATATCTCAGTTAACCGGAAATTTGGTTAACCGAAATCTGGTTAACCGGCCGTGCCCACCCCTACTAGTTGGGCGCAATACATTCACACCACACGTTTGCCAATATCGCGTAGAGGCTTAGCACTTAGTCAAGCGCGTGGTGGGGCCAGGATACCGCGATCTCCTTGTTTCCACCCTTTTTCTCGCGTTGTATGATTACCTTTTTTGTTGCATGTTTTTCTTGGACCAATTGGACCAAGAATTAATCTACCATCCACCATAGCGGAAAAGAAAAACAAAAAGGTAATCATGCAACGCGGGAAAAAGGGTGGAAACAAGGAGGTCACGGGAAAAGGGTGAAAACAAGGAGATTTATTCTTTACCCCTAGCTACCCAATTCCTTTTTTGTTACTATCTCACATCATATGAGTGAAAATACTACACTTCCATTTTCACCCAATGATTGCAACAAGCTTAATTGACAGTATTTTATACGGAGTAATAATCATGACATTAATTAGTCATGTACATTGTTGCTTTTTCGAAATTGTATCCCCCCTCCCATCATTTTTACTCTAGTTTATATTATGTCATTTGTTAATAATATTAGTTAATGAAAGTTTTTATGTAAATAAAATTAGTAAATGTATTAAAGAGAATAAGAAGTCATATAAAATAAAAAGTTATAATTAATGGACTTTCAAAGCTGTTGCAGAAAATCTTGGAAAAACATGAAAGGTTTGAAACACTTTTTTGTTAAATAACATTAATATTGTGGTACATTTATAGTCGTCTTCACTACAAATAACTTTTTTCAAACCTTTACGACTTGTAAGTCTCAAGACATAACTTATAACATTAATTGTAATATAATCGTCTGAACTGATTTAACTTTGTATAATAAGTCATAAGCGCACCTTCACCTCATGTATCTATTAATGACTTCAAAAGTGCAGTTTTACCTAGAGGTGGACTCGGGCGGGGTGGCCCGATCCGGAACTGGACCGGGACCGGTACTGTTCCGGCCCGCCTGGCCTGGTGGCCCGGCCAGGGACCGGTCCGGGAAGGCCCGGCCCGGTGGTTTTACGGTGCGGGCTCGGGTCCGTCAAACGATGAACCGGCCGGGCCCGGCCGGGCCCAGTTCCGGGCTTTTTTTTGTTTTTTCAATTTTTTTTTTACTTTTCAGGGTTGGGCTGGGTGTTTTGGACTATTTGGGGTGGTGGGTGGGGGTGGGGTGGGGGGTATCAGGGGATTAATTAGAAAAAAATAGGAAGTGGCCCGAGGCCCGGCCCGGCCCGGACTGGACCCGGTGGCTACCCGGGCTGGTCCCGGGCCCAACTATTCTGAACCGGCGGCCCACCCGGGCCTAGGCTCGACCCGGACCCGGCCCGGCCCGAGTCCACCTATAGTTTTACCTTTACCGTTGTTCATAAGTGCAACATGTTGAACTTTATATTATTCACATATTCTACTTTGACTACGTTTTATTAATAAATTGTTTTTATAAAAATATTGTCAAATTCTCATTTGAAAGAAAATATTTTTATTAATTAATTTTACTAATAATTATGTGAATACAAACACTTTACAGTTTACACTTTACACTATTGTAAAGTAATTATTAAACTTTACACTACTCAAATTATTATAATAAGCCATAAGCACGTATTAATTAATTATTTTTAAACTTTGTTTTATGGACTGCTATTCGTTTTTACTATTTCTATATCCTAGATACAAATTCACATTTGGGGGGCCTAGACAAAAAAACACTTAATATACATAAATCATATCTAAGGTGATTTCTAAAACATAACTATCACTAAATTTTAATACATCATATGAGAAACAAATCATATTCAAAGTGAAAGTGCATCGTATAACCACTGAACTATCACCTTTAGTCGTTTAATTAACTCGCCAGTCATTTTCATTTTTGTACAACTGCTGAACTACCCAAGCAGAACCAACAAGCTGCAACAAAGATAAGAAAA